AGTTGGTATAGGTATAGTACTTTACCAGTGATATAGTAATTCTCCCGGTTTTATTGAAATTTACGGCAAAATTAAAAAACGAAATGTACACAAGAAGAAATTATAAAGGAGATAAAGTATAACGAAAGTAATAAAATTGCAATTTTACAATTGATTGCATTCATAATCTTATGACTGCTCGTACAAATTCATCTATGACTGGTTCTCATATTCTGGTTTTTTTTTTCGGAAAATCTTCTTGTATTATACAACGTTAATATTATGCTATTTATAAATTTTTATTATTACTTTTTCGTTTTTTTTAAATTTGATGCAATTTCTAAAAGATTAATAAAGGGTTGATGTTATTCATCAAGATCATCTTCAATCATCATTCTGTATCATTAGTGCATCATGGTTATATTAGATTCTTTTATTAGAAATCATTATGTTTGGAAAATTAATTTTTTGGTCTGTTTGAAGATAACGCTAATTCTAAAATGATTTTCAATTTTTTTTATTCCATTTTAGATTGATAAATTTTGTGATGATTATATCAATTTATTGTATAATATTATCGACGGCAGTACAACACTTTAAATTTTATTTGATTTTTGGAAAATATTCGAATCATAAAATTTTGTTTTAGTATAAGAAATTCGCGTTTTTCGGCGAAAAGCTCAATACGTTGGCGAATTTCTGGGCGAACATATTCAAAACTTAAACCTTTTCTGCAAACGATGATTTAAGAGCCTAAAAGTGAAAAGCTTCTTCGAGAGAATCAAATTAATTTCAAAGTTGAGTTATTCGAATGCTTTCTTTTCAATAAAAATTTGATTTTTCGAAGTATTGCGAAATAAATCACACATTTAATTTCGTTTTTACCAAAATTTTGGCATTTACGTGTAGATACAAGTTCATGATGTAAATTCTTGATTATCTTCACTGCATCCGTGTTTTAAGCAGAGCAAAAAATAATGCAAAGTTATCACTGTTTCAGTAATGCAAATAAGCCTTCACATAGCGAAAATACGCCTTGAGATTCAGGTATTTTATTGAAACACGTAGTCGACACAAATTGCTGTATAACAAATTTATATGAAAATTAAATTTTCCACCATTTTTTCCATATAATTTTCCATACTCACAAATTTTTTGTATAATTCATTTAAATTTTTTCATTTCGACTACAGATGCTTCTACGTTGCAGACTAGATTACCATAGTTAATTTCTCTTCCATAGTTTAAGTGACAAATATATTATGTTAACTAAATCACATAATATTAATGTAGAGATAAATTAAGACATATGGCAACAAAAAACAAAAAAAAAACTCTTACTATTTTTAAAAGTGAAATAAAAACATAATATCAATGTTAATTTATCTGGACATTTTTTTTCACCTTATACATACATAGTATGGGTGCATCAAAGTAATCTATACAGAGTATAGTAGTAGTAGTTCTTAGAGAGCCGGCTGATAACCATCATTATTTTATTTAAAATTTGTTCACCAACCTGCAACATATTAAATAAAATGTATTTGGACGCACAGCATAAAGGAATTTTTTTGTAAAACGAAATATGTGTACTTGCTCTTAGCACAAGAGCAAAATTATATTTTTTTTACTACGAAAAAGGAAAAGCAAAAAATTGAAGCGAATTTCTGTCACAGCTATTAGTTTTTGTGTACACCTAGGTATGCGGTTTTAAAGTTTAATAAAAAATGAAAACAAAGAAAAAAAAATACAGGTAACTTCGATTAATTTAGTTCATTTTTTTTTGTTGGCCATGCTCTTGTGTTTATTTGTTATTTTTTTTAACTTATTTTTTTCACATTTAATTTTTTTTTTCTAAATAATTCCACCATATACGATGCCTGTCTTTCGGATAAATGAACCGATGAAAATTAGTCGAAACAAATCTCTTTATTTCTGTGGATTAAAAAAAAAAAATTGTTTTTTTTTTTTATGGTCTCCCATATTTATTTTCTATATCAAATGAATTTATTTGTTTTGGATACAGAAAAATCAAAGAGAAAAAAAAATCTTAATAAGCGAACTGAACCGAAGTGAATTTGTTGAACGAATTTGTATTATATTTTAAAAATTAACTAGGATAAGAATAAAGAGAAAGAGTGTGTGACAGAGAGAGAATACTTGTGGTAGCTAGTTATTTTCGTGCAGTGTTTTTTGTGTATTATTGTTTATTTAGTTTCGATTTTACTTAAAACTGAAATCATCGGCAAATGAAAACAAAAAATAGTAGATTATAAGAGTGAATTTAAATTCAAAATGATATATAGAGCGTTCTTTATTATTATGGAAAATGAAATTTAGAAAAAAGTGAAACGAAAACAATATTATTAAAGGTATAATAGAGAATAATATTCGTTTGTGTTATATAAAATTGGGTAAAAAATACTCCTTTAATAAAGTTACGATCAAACAATATCGTAAATGAACAATTGGAGTTTAAAATTGTACTATAATTTTTAATAAATTGTGCAATACGTACAATTTTTAATTAAATGTGCAAAAATTATTAAATTTGTTTTAATTTAACCTCAACTCAATTGAATATTCAACTGGTAAAACTTACCAATTGTGGCGCTGATGTTAAGGTGGAGTAAAAAAATGTGATAAAGTAAACAGTCAAAATAAAGTAAAGAGGGCTTATACCCTTGTAATAAAGTCGTAATTCAGTTTTATTAATCATTGGGTTAACTAGGCGAGTGACTAGCTCCGAATTTTATTATTAAATAAGATAATACCGGATCATTTATGCGTTGTTTACTCTCAAGTAGAGTATTGGGCATTTGCATGCCGTCATAATAGAGTCATATTTCAGTTGCTATTTATTGGGTTAAGGAAGCGGGGTGACTGCCGTCAATTTTACTATAAATAAATGCTTCGATATTTTTGAGCTCTAATACACTGTGTTTTGTGTTTAAATCGGGAAAAGTGACGCAGCTATAAAACTATTAACGAGTTAAAATAATGGAAATCTCTATTGTTTTTCAATATAGTACGATTTTTAATGTATGCACAAACTATGCATTAAAGTTACCATTCTTAGATTATTTTTGGTGTAATTTACAAACCACCTTAAATTGTTTGGTTCAACTTTAATCACTTTTTGTTATTAAATCTATTTCTTTTTTCCCGCAATTCATACACTGTTTATTTATTTTTTTTTTCTGCTTCTCTTTTTTTACCATAGATGGACTATACGATAATCAAACTCGTTACAAATTGTTAATTACAAAAACTAATCACATTTTATATTTTTTTTGATCCTCTTTAATTTTTTATCTCTTTCATACTAAAATATTTTTATCATATAAATAAGAAGGAAAAAAAGTGAAAATTTTTATTTTTTTTTTTTTAAATTGAAAGTGTAGCGTTTCATTTTTCTTTTCCATATAAAAAATTTTTACTCCATATATAAAAAAAAAGTAGATCTCGTTTGTGAGCAAAAGAGAACACTAATTTTATTTTATTTTATTTGAATGAAAAGTGTATCAAATTTAATGGATAGGTGAGATGATGAGCATATGATTTGATTTTTATTTATAAAGTGTTGAATGTAATTACGAAATAAAAAAAATAGTGAAGTAAAATATTTAATTAAAAACGCTTATATAAATTCGAAGAGTCATTCAGAGTAAAGTGAATTAAAAAAAGAAAAGTTTATTTTATAGTTTTTTTTTGTGCACTGCTAAAATAATTGTTAAGGTACACATTAGGTTGATTTTTTTTTTATATAATTTCATTTGTGTATTTAGTGAAAATTTAAAATGATTGAACACGGATAATAGACATTAATTAACTATATAATTTGGTTCTGTTAAAAATTTGCCATAATTATGTAGCAGCTACTTAGATAGATTGGAGAGCGGTGAGAACCATAGTTTAAACATGATGCATTTATTAAGTATAAAAAAGTTTTATGCAGCGCAAAATTAAACTTAGAACTTCGCCTACGTTTTATGAAGTTTTATGAAGCCTACGTTGAGTCGAAAGGATGGCGTCCCAGGCGGAGCAACACGCCAACCAGAACAACATGCGTGGCTTGCACCGAATAAGTAATAATTTCACCGGGCAAAAAGAAAACACAACCCGCCCTGTCAGAGACCGTAGCGGTAACCTAGTGACAAATGAAGAGGCCCAGATAGAAATATGGAAACAGCACTTCGAAACAATTAGCAACGTAACACATACGACCAGCGAAGAAGTGCATGATAGTAACCCAGTCAGAAGACAAACACACTTAAGAATTTCTGAAGATCCCCCAAATATTAGCGAAATAAAAACAGTCATACAAAAAACTCAAACATAACAGGGCTGCAGGCAGTGATGGCATAACAGTGGAATTACTTCAGGCAGACGCACTAACTATGGCCCAACTATTAGAACCACATATTTCGCAAGCTTGAAGGGAAGAAAGGGTTGCGCAGTCATGGAAAAAGGGCCTTATCATTAAATTACCAAAAAAGGGCAACTTGACTCACTGTGATAATTGGAGAGGCATCACACTACTTAACATAGCATACAAAGTCTTGGCAACAATTATCCAGAATCGCTTAAGGGAAAAACTAGAGGAAACAATACGTGAAAAATAGGCTGGGTTCCGCCCGCATCGGAGTTGTGTCGATCAATCAAATACGCTTCGAATCATAGTCGAACAATCAATAGAGTACAGAACACCATTATACATGCTCTTCATAGACTTCAAGAAGGCTTTCGACACAATTAAGCGCGATGCAATATAGAAAGCGTTAAGAGATAACGGAACCCCAGACAAAATAATCCGCTTGATCCAAGCACTGTACGAAGAAGCCGAGCTCGCAGTATTACACCGAGGAAAAATAAGCGAATCCATCACTAACCAGTCAGGAGTCAAACAAGGTTGCCCACTTTCACCGCTGCTCTTCATAATCGTGCTAGATAACATCTTGCAACTTGTCTGCTCACAGAGAAGGGGCATGATCTAGAGTCTGTCCAACAAGATCATCGACATGCAGGGCAAATTAAAACACCTTGAAAAACTTGCCAAACTTGTGGGATTAGAAATAAACATAGACAAAACAAAGGCGATGAAAATAAACTCTACTAGCACAGCCAGTCTGGAACTCAATAACCAACAAATAGAGCTCGTTAGCAGCCTCTGCTACCTGGACATCATCACAACACCAGAGGGCGGGGCCCAAGAAGATATAGACAACAGACTGAAGAAAGCAAGAGCGGCGTTCGGTAGACTGCAGCCAATATGGAAAAGTAGCCAGATATCCAGAACGACTAAGGTCAGAATATTCCGGTCTTGTGTGAAATCGGTTCTGACATATGGCAGCGAAACTTGGCTAACATCAAAATCTACCAGTCAAAAGTTGCAAGTATTCATCAATAGATGCCTCAGAATAATATGCGTCATATTCTGGCCAAGACATATAAGCAACAAAGACCTCTGGATAATAACAGGCGAAGAACCTATCGGAAGGCAAATAAGAAGAAGAAAGTGGAAATGGATTGGGCACACTCTAAGTAAACCCGCCAATAATATCGCTAAAATGAGCTTAGAGTGGAACCCGCAGGGTTCAAGAAGACCTGGACGCCCCAGAAACACCTGGCGTAGATCTGTAAAATCAGAACTAGAAAACGGAGGTCTAACATGGAGTCAAGTCAAGCAAATAGCCCAAAATAGAACAAGATGGAGATGTCAAGTGGAAGCCCTATGCCCCCAAGAGGAGTTAGGAGAAAAAAAAAAAAAACGTTGACTCATGGATGTTAAGGACTACCGACATGAATAGGCTCGAGCCATTTGAGATGTGGTTATATAGGAGTATGCTTAAGATTTCATAAATGATGTAGTTCTTCGAAGAATATGTTCAAATTGAGAACTTCTAACAAACATAAAACGAAGAAAAATAACATACTTTGGACATGTATTTCGAGGTCAGCAATACGAACTCCTTCAGCTCATCCTGTAGGGTAAGATCGAAGGAAAAAGAGGCATTGATCTTAAGCAAATTTCATGATTAGGACAGGTGTATCAAATATTGGCGATCTGAGTATAAGAGCATTTTATCCAGAATTCAATAGCTGTAACAAGAAATACATCTGATAGCTAACATCTATTACTGGATAGGCATCAAAGAGAGAGATAAGCATGACGGCAAAGTAAAATTCTAATAACGTACTACTTGTACTATTCAAACATTTAGTGTATATAATATTGATTTTATCTTAGCCAGGACCCTTCAGATTGAATAAGTTTTTAAATATTTTGGAGTTTAGCTGAAAGTTTTCAATATATTCTAATATCTAGCAATATTTTTAAAATTAAAGTAAGGATTAGTTAGATTTCTTATTGAATTCCATGGAAAACGTTCATTAACTATGAAAAATGTAGCAGTTAAAAATGTTCGATTTTGCGAGCTGTTTCAAATAATGAAGGGGGCAATAATACTATTTTGCTCACTGAAATATCCAATTTTTGTTGAGCAATAACGATCCTCTTAAGAATCTTAACACTTTTACACTAATTTTAAATCAATTTTACAATTTTTCCTGAAACAAAATGCACTTTTATTTAAAAAATGTATGCTTATTTTGTTTGTATTAACATTTTTTGAGCATTTTACACATAATATTAAAGATCTTATAACTTCATATTTAATACTCACTTTTCCAACAGGATTTCAATTTATCCTATTTTCCTACTGTAAATGCACAAGTGCTAAAAATTGTGTTGCTATAAGTGTATAAAATTAATTTTTATATAATCTTTTACTTTATTTAAATACGAGTATTAGTTTATGACTTTATATTTTAAAACTTTACTATTCATAAACCTAGGAGTTATAAATAAAAAATTGCAATTTTAAAGATCAAGAGGTGCTTTAGCAGCTGCTATATGCGCTACTATTTTTTTTTTCTGAAATTCTATTTTACAGATAAAACTTGTATAAACCAAGCAACCTAGATTTTAGCAATTGTTTAATCTCTTATTAAATATTCATTCTCAATATTATAATATTATGTGAAGAGATGAAAGTGTGTGTATAATTATTATGTAAGTAAAGTAATATTAACGCTCTAAAACTACAAGTTCATAATATTTACATAATTATGATGTTTGTGAAAACAAAAATGGCATTTTAAAAAATATTATGAAATATGCATAAAGGATGTGCGTTTTTATACGTATATGATGTTTGAGTTCTATTTAAGGGTATGCAACACTCTAGTATAACATTTACTGGGAACGGTACAAAATAAGTATTGATTTTCTGTTATATTAGAGCAAAAAATTAATCAATAATTTTAAATAATATCCAATTTGTTTCCTATTTTCAAATATAATGGCATCTACTAGAACCAGTGTATGTATAACAACTTGAATGAAACTAGAAATTTTGTTATATACATAGCTAAAAATTTTATATCGATTTTCCATTTAAAAACATACTGGAGCAAGCCGATTTGATTGCACTTCTCGACTACTACCTTATGGCTGCTTTTGTAATTGGCAAGATTACACAAATGAAATTTTGCAAATTTAGAGTGTCGAATATTCCGAAATGGAACGCGAATATTGTTCATGCAATTTTAACGTAATATTATTATACAATTTAACTGCAACTTACAATTCTAATTATAAATGGAAGAAAATTTTTCTTCATTTTCAGAAGAGTTTAACACTTCAATTTAAAAATTAAATTAAAAAAATAAAATTTTAATTTTTTTTAATAAAACTCTTTTAGTTTTTAAGTAGAATACAAGTGTTAACTCCTATTATATATGAAAATGGCTCTCACTATTAAATACATATAGGTTTAAATACACACATTAGATGTTTCCATAATGAAGTTAAGTGACATGGTAGTAAAAAAATTATTTACTTTTTCAAAGGTTTTTTTAATATTAAAATAGATTTTTATATTTTATCCTTTGGAAACTGGATTATTCTGCTTTAATATTCGGTATTGTATGAAATCTACAAACGATTTCAATTATAGTAAAGGAAGTGACAAAGTTTTAAGCATGACAATTTGTTTCGATCTATCACTTCGTTGCAATTCCTCAGGTACGTCAATATAATTCAATGATTTCATAAAAATATATTGTAGCTTAAAGCTTTTCCAAAAGTTCCCAAGGCAAATATTCTACTCTATCCTATTGAGTATTTAGTAAAGGAGAAGTAAACCAGAAAATAAATTCAAATAACTCATTAATTAAGTAAAGAAATATTGTTTCCCTTATATTTTTCACTATAATTACTTTATTCCTGCAATTTGTGTGCATGGAATATTAAACCCCATTACGTTTTTTCAGAATTTAAATGAATTTCTTTTTAAGTGTCTTTTATATAATTATAAAATATGTAAATTCTTAATTAATATGAATTCATCTATTATCCGATTAAAAATTTTATTAAAATTTTTCTGGAAATTTAAAATATTACGTTAAAATACAGAACAACTAATCGTTTTAAACCGTTTCATTCGAGAAAATAGTTGGAACCTGTCATAAAATGTTTTGATTGAAATTTTTTTAAACGCAATCAAAATTGTGTTAAAACTGCTCACTGGATCTCCATGAATTTCATTCATACTTTGTCGTTTGATTATCTGAATCATAAAAAGAAAATATAAGCTAATGTAGTGGCAATTTTTAGAGCGGTCCATGCTCAGGGTCCAGTATTTTATTATTTTAATTATTCATGAATAAAAATGAGTTAAGGAGTTATAAGTTATAGAATTTGGAAATTTATACATATTTCTATATAGGGAATTTACGATACTATACGTGTAATTATAAATTTTAAAATGGACCATGCTCGGGATCCAGCAAATCTCAATCAATTTGATTTAAATGTGTATTGAAAAAGGAACGCAATTGGCTTTACTGTTTCAAAAACATAATTTATATGAATTATATGAAAGTATAATAATTAGAATCAATGTTATAGTAAGTAAGTAAATATAACTAATTAAAATATAGCTATATAGATTAACTTATTTAACTAGATTAATATTTTTATTCTCCTTTAATGAAATTTCTTACTTTGTGTTATATTATTCTTTTCAATATCAAATCTACATTAAATTTTCTATATAATTTTGCTTATAAGTACAAATTCTTAAATCTTTTCATATATGTATATAGAAATATACATTTATATATAAATTACTTTGTATTCCATTTACTCTTAACACAAATTTAAAATTTACTTTTGTATTATTCTTGTACGGGTAAAAACATACGTAGAATGTATACTTTTCTTATTTTCAACACTTTGGATTAAAATAATTTTCTGTAAAATAAAATTTTAGGAAATTTACATTACTTTAAGTGTATATAGAACAGTACACAGACACACACATGCGTTCATATAAATTCATACATGTTACATAATTAAATAGAATTTTTTTCTCTCTGTCTTTTAAAGTAATACATTAATGTATTTATTTGAAAGAATTAAGTAGCTTCCAAATTACATTAAAATATTCAAGAAGTAAGTGAGTAATTCATTGTGTGCATTTGTTATATTCGTGTAAAATCATTATGAAAATGGTATTTTACCTAGATTTTTTTTCCTTTTTAGCATTTTTCCAAAAAAATTTTTGAAAAAAGTGCTTATTAGTTTCACTCTGTCCGTCCGTCCGTCCGTCCGTCCGTCCGTCCGTCCGTCTGTCCGTTTACAAAACTTCTACACCTTTGAAGATAGAAAGCTGAAATTTAATACGTACATAGATCTTCACAGAAACTTATTTCCGTAGAACAAAATTTTTACCTATCTCCCCCCCCTTTTGAAGTTATACCCCCCCAAAACCCTAAAAATGGCCTTTTTTAAATATTTGTTGCAATGAACCCATAAGCATTTTTGAAATTTTGCAAACGCAGAAAGGCAGTGGCTTGCTTCCCTCTGCGCGGTATACTATAGTTCAACTTAAGAAAAACAAAATGGCCGCTTAAATTTACCGTTATTTAAAGTCCTTTTTTTCCAAATTTTTGATGTCGTTTTTCTTCTAGACCCCAGACTGTAGAAGCTTGAAATTTTAGAAGCTTTTAGATATTAATAAATAGTTCATTTTGTTAGAAGAAAATTTTTTTCCATCTCCACCCCCTCTCAAGTTATCACCTCTTGAAGTTCGTAAAATTTGAATTTTTGACACCTTATATTTCCGAAACCGCAGGCTTTTCCAAATTTTTATAAACGCAAAAAGCTAACGGTAAATTCCGTGAAATTAAAAAATATAATTATTTTTCTTATCTCACACAATTAACCCTTAAAATCGAGCATTATGTTAACCCCTTTTTATATTAATTTTTGCTTTATTTCAAAGACTGCATATATGCGTCATCCTAAATATATGCAATCCTCGAAATAGTTTTGTATATGAATGAAAATAATTTAATAGTGTGATAGCTATACATAAACTGTATTTAAAAGCAGAATTTTCACTTGTTGAAGGGAAAAGTGCTACAATAGAAACCATTGGTTTGACCCAACTTTATTCTTTAAATAAATAAAGGATTTGTATTATTTTTCCTTCATTTTCATATGAAATTTTAGTTAATTGTAGAGTTCTATGCATAATCCAATTCTGGGAATTTTGTATTAAAAATTATGTTGCAACAAGATGCACATTTGAAAAATTCACTAAGAGCTGCAAGTAATTCTCCTTCTTAAAAGTCCTTCTGCCTTTCTGTCACGAGAATAAGTACAGAAATAACGCAGTAAATGAGATGAAATAACGCAGATTACTAT